CCTATAACAGGGTGTTCCTCCCCCCCCCCCCCCCCCCCCCCCTTTTTTTTTTGTTTGATTCCCTTTACCGAACTAACAATTAGTACTAACTGCCCGTGAATACAAAATTTTTATACTTAAATCTCGTTGTTGTGTTTTATGGAGAAACGATATGAAATTGCATACGTCAAAGTTCTTCAGTGAAAGCAATAGTGCCCAGCGAAATTCTATACAACAGAGAACGAGTCAACAATCCTTTTATATTAGCATCAATAAAAGTTCAAGTTTGGAATGCTAACATTGACGAGAACATTCTTCTATGGCAGAGAAAAAGCTGTATACTATCGACAAAGCTCAAGAAATCAAGAGGATTTGCGTAACATCTCTGCACTAGTGCTCGTCCATTACTTCCTGAATTGTCACAAATCTACCCTTCTCTATCGAAACTTGTGCAGCGACCCCCATAGCGACCGATATCAGTCCATCCTGCAAATCCACGGCTGGAGCTCGTTCGCCTTTTGCTCGAATTGCAGACAAGAAGTTCAGGTGTTCTAAATAGCTAGATCCATGGTGCAGCCCATCATATCTGAAAAGGAGAAATCCATTTAGCATCTCAGGAAATGTGACTCTACAAAGAAGCTTATAGCATGGAATTGTTGACGATGTTAATGAAATGCCTGCAAACCAAAGAAGCTCACTTTATTCGGTCATCCTCGGCTTTTAAGGTCTGGACACCATCTCTTCCTCCCACTCTAGTACCAAAACGCACGATGCTCTCCGGAACAAATGCCTCCCCCTGTAAAAACTTGTTGCTTAAGGTATCGTTTGGTATGCCGCAATAAATTATGTTATGTGGTACTATATAAAGTTTTGCATAGTAGATTCTGTAACGGATGCAACAAAATTAATCGCCGTGTTCAAGACAGAGAGCTAAATCATAATGTAAAAAAAAAAAAAAAAATGCAAGAACAATCAACACAAAGTGCAGGAATCCGCCTATTAGCATATGCTACAGTAATGCATCCTTAGGAATTGCCATTTATTAAGTCAACCCTTTATAGTAAACGTACGAGGATTTAAAGATATCAGAAGATACTAATTGATAATTGTCTACCATAATGTTTGAGGAGACTAGGAGAGATTATTACCTTCCCAATATCACCAACAACAGATATTTCTTGCTCATTTTTACTCCCTTCCGCAAACATGCAAAGGTCGAGCATCCCACGGGAACCATTGTCGAATTCAATGATAACATATGCATTGTCAATTATATCTGGTACCTGAAAAGAAGCTTTTGTGAGCAAAATAAACAGCAGGGTAATCAAAATATAGAGTAGTAGATTTTGATGAGTAAATTACCTTTCCATCATATATTTCATCCTTGTGATTAACATCAATTGCACCAGAAGCCATCACGCGAACAGGATTTGCACCTGCAAAGAGCCTCATCAGATCAAAGAAGTGGCAGCACTTCTCCACCAGAGTACCCCCGGTATTAACATTGAACCGGTTCCAATTGTTGACCTGCATAACATTACAAGCATGAATGAATGAGGAAAAAAAAAAAATTGAGTTGCATATAGTAAAACCTTATGTAATATACCTTAACCAAGAAAGGGAACCGATGTTCACGGATAGCCACCATCTTAACCTGTCCAAGTGTTTTTCCCTTAACTATTTCTATCAGCTTTGCAACGGGCGGCATGTACCGGTACTCTAATCCAACTTGCACCAGCATATCTTTCCTCTTTCTAGCAGCATCTACAACCTACTTCAAGACAAACTATTTGATATATTTTATCACTAAAATTAATATAAAAACACAATGAAACATGAGTAAAATCCACCACCTCCAGTTAAAATGAAAAAGACTTTAGGATCAAATGCTTGCTTTAGTTTCATGCCAACCCAACAATAGTAGTCCCTTTTCGCAACATTAACCAACTGAAACCACAATTTCATCCACCAAAAACTAGCCTATTGAGGTAAATTTTACATTGATCAAAACATAGGTTATCAGTTAACAATTTCGAACAAGGTCACCTCCGATCTCCATACTTACTTTTCCAACCAAGTACCAAGTCATACACTCCTAATTTAGAACAATGCTAGGGCACACTAGTGGTGTCCAATACCACACACTAATAGAAGGTAAGTCTCACATCATGGGCTCCACAGATGGCATACCTTCTATTAGCTGTGGTGTTGGGCACCACATATGGAGACCAAAATAACAACGCAACTCTAGTACCAAGCCGTACACTCCTAATTTAGAACAATGCTAGGCCACACTAGTGGTGTCCAACACCGAACACTAATAGAAGATGAGTTCCGTGTCATGGGCCCCACGGATGACATACCTTCTATTAATTGTGATGTTGAGCATCACTAATACCCGTAAGCATTTTCCGCTAGTTTAACATACCGCTTTGCAATGAGGGACTGTGGTGCAAAGAGGCTTCTCCACTAGCACATGGTGTGGTTTGGGATGGCTGATGATATCCATCAGAATTTCGTAATGGGTCATGTTTGGACTTGACACAACCACCACATCACACATCCCACTCTTCAATAGCTCCTTGTGTCCGGTAAAAACCTTGTAATAATAAAAATAGAAAAAAAAAAAAAAACAAAATTCTCAAAACTTCAGCAAAAAGTGAGACACTTCTAAAACACTCCTAATCTCATCTTAAACAATATTTTTAGAAAGTGGGTCAAACTTCAAACTCCAAACATAATTTCTATGACTAAATTCTAGATATAAGAAATACCTTTATGGGCCAATTGTAAGAGTGAGCTAAATCAAGAGCAAGGCGTTGGGAAGGAATGTGGGGATCGGCTATGGCGACGACTGAGACGCCTTGGGTTCGGAGGTGGTACAAATTGATGAGGTGCTCACGACCCATCATGCCCACTCCTATGATTCCGTACTTGACTATATCATTGGCAGCCATGGTTGATGAATTTCGGAGCTTGGACTGATTCTTCTGCTTCTTCAACTATACAGTACACTTCGCTTGCTTTACTGTAGTTTTATACTCATTTTTTCTTTTGTTTGCTATATGACTGAGAAATTTGCTAGCTTTTTTTTTTTTTTTTTTTTTTGTCGCTGGAAGAAAATTATTTGCGTTAGTTTACACAACATGGGTAGTTGATAGGTTTTTGGTGGCTTGGCCGTTATCTCACGATTCTCACCTCAGTTTGTTTTTGTTCTGTCTGTTTGTTTGTTTGTTTTTAAAAAATAAATAATAATAATAATAATAAAGCAAACTAACCCTGGGTTTTTGGGTAAGTATTTTTCTGATTTTTTCCGAATTTTTTCCACGCTATATATGAGTGAAAACGACATGTCGTCTAAATTCCTGTAACGTCATTCTAAATCTTCGTCCTAAGCCGTTTAGTTAACTGATTTGAGTTTTTAATTCAAATTGAGATGTGATTTTATGTGAAAATTTTTTACTGTAACAAAAAAAGAAATAAATGTAATTATTTTTAAGAGTTTTTTATTATAGTAAAACTTAAATTTTAAACTCGAATCGATAAAATAAACGAGATCTTAATTTCTATTTTGACAATTTTACCTCTCAATTAAACTTTTTCTTTTTTTTTCTTCTCAAACATCCCTATATTAATTTATTTGCTAAATAAAAAAAATCATTACTGTCCTCACACTCTTCATCTCCTTAAGTCACTTTAGAAAATAATTGAATGGAAATGAAATTTTAGTTGAAGGAGGATTTCAGTTTTCACTTAGGGGGTGTTTTGGTAACGGGCAGAAATTATATTATTAGGAAAGTAACAGAATGAAATATGATTCTTAAAAAATGTGTATTATCACGTTTGGTTATGCATGTAAATCTTTTCTCATGTTCTCAAAAAAAATTATTTTACTGTGTTCGGTTAATACAAAGTAATGTAATGTGTTTGGTTAATAATAACTAATTTAAAATAATTTAGGTACTAAAAACTTGATTATTCTTAAGAAACACAAAAATTCTTCTTAAATAAACGGCGATCGGAGCCCGCTGTTCGGCGTGGGGCGGCGGAGGAGGAGGAGGAGCGGAGGGCGGTTGCGGCGGCGACTGGGGTTGCAGAGAGATGGAGACGGAGGTCCACGTCTCGGACTAGGGGGGAGGAACGACGTCGTCTGGTTGGAGCTTGGGGTAAGAAACGTAGTCGGAGGAATGTGGGGAATTGTGCGTCGGTGGTGGATCGGAGTTGGGGGTTTTGTCGGTGTGGGATTGATCGGACGGCTGTTGTTGTTGATTGCTCATCTTCGTGTTCTTCGATGAGAGAGGGAGATTGGGGATTTGGGGGGATGGGAAATGGAAAATTCCAGAAGAAGGAAAGTGAGAGATAGCGGGGAAGATGAAGGATATTTCGTTTCGAAGTTTGAATGGGAAGGCCAATCAATTGTCAAATGTGACGTTGGCACAAGCTTCGGGTGATGGAGGTGCTCGGCAGCTACGACAGGGAGGAGGAGATGCTCAGTGGTGGTAACTGCACTGGGTGTGTGGTGTGGGGTGTGTGGTGTGGCGTGGGTAAGGTTCTCGTGATTTTGAGATTCTTAAGGATTTGAATAACATCGTGAGTGATATTTAAATTATTTTAAAATGAGAGAAAGTAAATATCATAATAATCACTTTTTTATAAATTTAAAAATTATAATTCTTGTATTAAATATAATAATGTTACAAATTCTTATTTTGATTCTTAAAAATTACTGTATATCAAACACTATATCACAGCAGATTTAACGCACAACACATGGATCGAGCATGGCTCTTAAAATGGAGTTGTGGAGTGTAGAGCATCGAATCATGGGCACGTGTTTGAAAGAAAACAAGGAAAGACATTTTTACCGTTACACTAACCCATTAGATGATTTTGGCACTTGTCAATCATGGGCCGTCAATTTTCTTTGAAAGGACTAAAATGCCCCATTGTGTAAAGTTGTCACTTGCTAAATATTTTAATAAAATTACCTATAATAGGGGTGATCAAAAAACCTAACAACCAATGAATTCATTTAAACCACCCAACCTAACTCATTATAAATCAAATCTGATCAAGCCGATTAAGAGATTAATCTAACCCACCCAAAACTTGACTATTAATTCAGTGGATTTAGATTGTGTTTTTTCTAAACAAATTATCAAAATACACCCCATAATCCACCCAATTAATTAGGTAGGTTAAATTTAAAATTAACCTACCCAAACTTAATTGAGTGGATTAAAAAATCTCAAAAATTCCACTATCATTGTTTTTGTTATTTTTACATTTATACCACTTAAAATATAGTTTTGTATCGCTTGAGATTATTTTGACTGATTAAATAAAAGAATTGTTTTTACTATGCCACCCAGTGACATAAATATTTAGTTAGTACTATTTTGAGTGGTATTCTTTTATCATTCTAGAACTAATTGGTCTGGCCATTTTATTAAAAAAATAATAGATTAATTTCACAAATACCTTTAAACTATATAATATTTACTATGTAGTTTTTCAAAATGATCCATTAAACTTTATTAGAATCATTTAAAACACCATATACAATATGTCCAAATTACCCATTTTTTTAAGGGTCAAATTAAGATTTTGTAAAATTCATTAACTTTCGTAAGAAGGAAGAAAAATAATCAAGGCAAAATATTAATAATAACAATACGGGATAAAACAAAACAGATTTTCATGCTACAGAGGAGAAAACCATAACTGTTTGTTTGCAGCTACACGGAGTTTTTTTCACTTCAATCTCCACCAGGCTCAACAATGAATTTTAGGGTTTCGCACAGAGTTCCCGTGCTCCCTTATTGCGCGCGCGCCAATTACCTCCATAACCAGCGCCGCTCTTTCTCTTCGTTCATCAAAAAGCTCCAAACAGCAACTCAAGCCCGAGCTTCTTTCAATGGCGGAAGTGGCAGTTCTCGAGGTGAGTATTTCACTTCTGTAATTCACCGGAGTTTGCAGTTTCGACCTCATTTGTGCTCTATTATACTTCAATTCTTGAAAAATTTAAGGAGAAAGTGAAAGACTCAGGCGATTTTTCGGTGTTACTTTGCTGCATTTAGCCAGTAGTCAATTATGGAACGTTCTTCGTATTCGGAAGAAAGTTGGAGTTCTTTCAAGTGCTAGAGAATTCGGGTTTCTTCTGTTTTTATTAACGTCCTTCATTATTTCTACTATGTGTGTTTATATGAGGAAAGAAAACGTAAGATTTTTCTGTGAATAGTGTGAAACATATTCCTACTTGACCAAACAGTGAGATTGTAAGAATTGGGAAATCTGAAACTAAGTAGAGATGATAAAGAAAGTGATACCTGTGAAAAAACAGTTCAAATGTAACTTGTCAGGGGTCAAATAGCCTGGGACCAAATAGTGATTTCAGTTCTACAGAAATGGCATGATATGTTTGCATTCATCATATTCTTGATAAAAATTTTCATGATTAAAAGCTCATCGGAGACTTGAGTTGTGTATTCCTTTATCAATTTATTATACAATTTGATTTTTAGGGGGGTTGAGTGTTTCATAGTGTTTGCTTCAGGTGATTCTTTTCTGGTGCCTGGTGCAACAGTGGCCACCTTACTTATGCTGGGCGTTCTTCATGCTCGGCGAATGTATGATGATAAGAAGGTAATAAACTATAGAAGGATCATTAAGATAATTCTTACCGAAAGAAGGAAAGCGGCATTCGTGAGGTCTTCATAGAAAAGACCGTGATTTTATGTTCTATAGCTATGATTGTATCATACGTGTTGGGTTGCGTGAGGACTTAGATGGATCATCTTTGCATCAGTTAGATGAATAGGAGCCTTACTAGGTTTTTTTCTAGTTGTTTTTATGATATATATTTTCTTCGCCTTGAAATAGGTTGAAGAGGCTCGAGAGAGAGGGATAGAATCTGAGTTCCAACCTGATTTCAAGGTAGCATTGTATAACTTTCATAGTTTTTGTGATTTTGCTAGTTTTAAGATGGTTGCTTCAGTTGCAGAGATATTTCCAGCGTCTAACTTTGACATACAATTCTTATCTTCCCAATTGTAGGCTTCTGTTTTGAGATTGCTACCTCTGCGCTCCATATCAAGATGTTGGGGTTACTTGACTAGTGTGGTGAGTTATCTTCCCATTTTTACAAGATAGCAGAATTTAAAATTCTCAACCACTGTCCCCTGATAATAGTAGCACATTCACTGTAGTCTTCCTACTATCTTATTACAAATGCTGGATGAGAAAAACTAATCAATTTCCCTCATTAACCAGATTTGAATCAGTTAACCTTGTAAGTTGTACCTGATAATATACTACAAATAGAAAATGGGAATTTATTCAAGGTACATAATTCCGCTCATGTTATTACATGGATAATTTGAAAAACAGGTTGTACTTTTTGCTTGTATAACACTTCTATCACCTATCTTTATAGTTATCTGTGTTTTCTTTCCCTCTTTTTCTATTAATTAGTGCATGCATCTCACTTCTTTTCCCAGTATGTTGTGTTACTTTTGGAATGAAATGTTTTATTTTTGTTACGCGTTCTACTTATTGAAAGAAAATGCTTTTAGGAAATGCCTGTCTGGCTGCGTCCATATGTTTATAGAGCTTGGGCACGGGCGTTCCACTCAAGTATGGATGTTACATTTTCTTCCTCTAGCATTTTTTTTTTTTGTTAAATTAATAAGTTATATATGTTTATCTTACATCGTTATTGATGCGTTATTTCAATAGAAAACAAAATTTATGCTCATAGGCTTAAACCTAAAGATCATTTTTGAAATTGAGGTCTGTTTTACATTTCAGAGTTAGAGGAAGCAGCTTTGCCTCTGAACAAATATGCTAATTTACGAGAATTCTTTGTTCGCGCCTTGAAAGAAGGTTGCAGACCTATTGACCCTGATCCACAATGTCTGGTAACTGGTACCCAGCGATATAGACATCTAAGTTTTTAAATATTTCAATCTGAATTTACTTGCCACTTCTCCTATATGACTGTTTTTATGAAAGTGTAGGTTAGTCCTGTTGATGGTACAATCTTAAGATTTGGAGAGTTAAAAGGACCTGGGGTTATGATTGAGCAAGTCAAAGGGTTTTCTTATTCTGTTGCTTCTCTCCTCGGTGCAAGCTCATTCCTTCCTATGGTAGCTGAAGGGGATATGGATGAAGATGGTGACGAAGCAGAAAACACTCCTATGGATAAGAGGAAGAAGTCATGGTGGAGAATTTCACTGTCTTCTCCAAAAGTCCGGGACTCTGTGTCATCACGGTAATAAGATGTTCATATGTGGTCCGCACTTTAAGTCTTTACTTTGGGTGATGAAATCATTATGGAGTATGTTCAAATGTAACTAAGTGAAATACAAGTTAAGATAAATCATACTTTCCTTGTATTCATTGCAGTCCCGTGAAAGGTCTTTTTTACTGTGTAATTTATTTAAAGCCGGGAGACTATCATCATATACACTCCCCAGTTGATTGGAAAATTTTTATTCGCCGGCATTTTTCAGGTAAGGTTATTGCTGAGGCCCTTGTGTCTTGAAAATCCATGGAACTTATTCACTTTTCCCAAATGGTTCTCTCATTTATGAATGAATGCTCTGAATTTTTTAGGTTGCTTGTGATCCTTAGGATAATTATGACATTACAAATTGCTGCTTTTATAGCTTTTTCAGGTCCGAAATGCTTAGTCGTCATAAAGTTTCTGTTGCAAACTTAAATCAAAGGGAGGAATAGGAAATTCACAATTTCTTAGAAGCTCTCTACGTTGAGTTGTCTCCATCAAAATGTTATTCTTATGGAAGTTTTAAGAACCAGACACAAACTCATACATATATAATGCATCCTTAGCTAAGCATATTTTTAAGCTTTAAGTTTTGGTTTATTTTATGTTAAATTGTATATGCATAGCTCCTGCAAGTTGAGTGGTTGTGTTTAAATTGGTGTAAACCAGGTTGTTAGAATGCTATGACTAGATTAGGACAAGAGAAATCCAAATCAGATTTTAGGTTTGCTATTCGATCTAATACTCTTGTTATGGTTTGATTTTTGTAGAAAGTTTATTAATATTCTCTCCTTTGTAGTTATTTGTGTGGACTGTGGTCTGTTATTTTCCTTCGCAGGTAACTTATATCCTGTGAATGAGCGTGCAACTAGAACTATCAGAAATCTTTATATTGAGAATGAGAGGGTAATTTTTGTTAACTTGCAATGGTCGTAGCGAGTTCAATGTTTTTTGTTTTCCCTGTTATTAATGTTGTGCTTGTGAATGAGGAATAGGCGCGCACTTGTATTTGTATACTCAAAAATCTCCATCTATTGGTGGTTCGTTGATATGGTTTATGTCAATATAATTGGGGATGAGACGATGTTAATGAAAACCACCAATTTAATGACAAGAGGCAGGTAGTCAGAAAATTTAAACTAACTACTTGTATATTCATGCCCTTTTTTTAGGGCATAAAATATTCATTAGTTCTTTAGTGGCTGGCTTTTCCTTGTCTCTTCCAGTTTTCTAGCTCCCAAAAAAAAACTGGCAAATTTTGGTTAACATGGCCGGCTTTATTTGGTCTCTTTTTAGTCTTTTGTTTTCTAATTCACCTCACTGCCTATGAATTTCTTGCTTCGTCAGGTTGTGCTTGAAGGTCTATGGCAAGAAGGGTTTATGGCAATCGCTGCAATTGGCGCAATCAATATTGGATCAATCGAGGTTGAGTGGCTCCTTGAAATTTGAAAATCACAACAACAACAAACAATTATAGTAACTTATAATACCTTGTGCACGATATAAATAAACCCAACTTGACAGCGCCCCCCCACCGCCCTTTTTTTTTTTTTTTTTTGTCTCTGTGCGGTTTATTCTGATTTACCCTTTTCCTTTCTTGGAAATCATCTTCTTCTTCTTCATTAGCTTCCACAATTGATTTCTGTTTAAACTTTGCACATGGCAGCTTCCAATTGAGCCCGAATTCCGGTCGAACTTGCCAAGGAAAAAGTTATTACACCCAGAGACTGCTGAAGAACGGCTGTATGAACCAGGAATTGGTATGACGCTGAGAAAAGGGGATGAGGTTTGGAAATGCTTTCATTTCTCTTCCAGCAAAATTCCTGCTCATATGTTTCACTTTATTTTTAACTTTTCGATCCAAGTCTGACAAGAGCATTGTTCCCAACTGCCTTAACGCAAACATTACTCTTTAATAAATTCCAATGTGTCCGATAACATATTAAAATAGAATTAGCTGGAATTTTATTCAGAATAAAAAATAAAAAACAAACTTTGCCCTGCATATTTTCAAGCACTAGGACCTTGTTTCTCAACTGAATTATTCCTTTCCGAGTTCAGATCTCCTCTCAGCCTTCTAAATGACCTATGTTTCTCTTGTGCTTCAACCTGTTCAGATAGCGGCTTTCAACATGGGATCAACAGTGGTGATGGTCTTCCAGGCCCCTGTGATAATTGGAGATTCTTCATCAGAGTTCAAGTTCTCCATCAAACGCGGAGATAAAATTCGCGTAGGTGAAGCCTTGGGCAGGTGGCGAGAACAGTAGCCACCAGCATTGCACATTGATTTTATTCAGTGTCTTAAGCACAAAAAAGGGGTCATTAAGCCATGTAAATTATCCCAGTAAATTGCTGAGACAGTGAGTTTCACTTTAGATCTTTGGTATACCATTACAATAGTCAAAGAGGTGATCGTTTTACAAATTTGACATTTTTTTTCCCCGATATTGATGTTCATGTTGCCGTGTTAATATGCATGAATAGATTGCTCATAAGAATCCGTGTCTCACAGCGTTAAAGATATTACAGTGAAGTGATTTTTTGTCAATGTGCTTCTCAGCATGTCGTTAAAAAAATGCCAATGAGGAAGAACCATGCAATATAACTTTCTCCCATCCTTTGCCCATCCCATTTTCTCCCAATACGACAGGCAACACACATGCAATTCTACTATACCTGTATGTACGTCAGGCATCATTGACAAACTGTCAAAATTGTACAATGACTAAATTCTCAGCCTAATCTCAAATTCTCAGCCTAATCTCAGAACCTAATTCAGTACTTCACTCGTAAATTGCTTAATAGCACAAACCAAACACACAACACTGAAGATGAATCGCGCAACGGAAGCTTGCAAATTAAGAAGAAATGAACAAGTTCGATTGCTCCTTGAGGAATGAAGAGTTTTGGTCCCTGTTGCTATTGAGTGAAATTCTGAGGAGTTCCAATGCCAACCATAAAACTACATTCTAACCATTGTCCACAGCAGACATCAAATCCGAACGCTATAAAACATTCGGAGTAAGCTCCAACTAAACTCGAACGGGTTGAATATTCCTCTTTATGTATAAAACACTTAAAGAGAGAACCTCCTCAACCTCAGATACATCTAAAAGTTCCAGGAATTATAATTAGCACATCCTGAAGCATTAGAAGAGGAAAACCGGTTCTATAAGAACCGCAAAAGTTGTGCCCTTTTCCTTCTCTCTACACTTCTCACACTAAGCTTCCGACGAACAAACCTCTTCAGCAATCACAAGGCCACCTGGATTAGCTCTCCAGAAGATGGCTTATTTATCAGTATATGCTTGCTGCTAAACACATGAACATTAACTCATTTCACCAAGTTACCATATCTAAATCCTGTCAAAAACTAATCTTCTCAGATATGCTCATGATATGCACTCTGTCACTTCATATGAAACCAAAAATCTGCTCATAATATTTTTAAATGGTTTTACTTCCATAACTGCACTTGCAATCTATTTGGCATTGCAACCTCATCCAGAAGAAGCTTAGGCCCGTTTGGTTCATGGGTTCAAACCAAAATGGTTTGAACTAGAGTTCAAATTTTGTGAGAGAAAACATTGTAGTAGAACTTTTTAAATTCAAATTTTTGTGAGGTTTAAACCGAAGTTCCAAACAAGCTTCTAATAAAATATATCTCATATCAGTTCTAAAATTAATCATATGCGAGACTAAAAAAGAACAAACGATTGTTTTCATCCAAGGGTAAATGAATAGGAAAATATGGACAAAATTGAATCAAAAGAGAGGATCCTACGGACAAGCATATCATCCAGTAAATTGAATTGAATTCCTGAACAACACATTCAACACAAATCAGAGTTCAAATTGCGATTTACATTTGTTACTTCTGTAGATCACTCAACGCCTTTGTGGTTTCCATCTTCACAACTGCCTAATAACCAGGAATTGAATCCGAAGCTCTCAGTTTCCTATACCTTTATATCAAAACTTTGTTCCTGAAATGCCCACCAAAAAAAAAACCTTCCAAAATTAGTTTTGTCCCAATGTTTTCAAATCTTCAACAAATCCTCAAATCAATCAAAATATTGACAAAAAAAAAAACTCCAGAATTATTTTCTTCCCATTTTTTAAATCTTCAAAATTCATAAATTAATCCTCGTGAATTAGTTTCATCCCAAAATTTCTAAGAATTCAACAAATCCTCAATATAGCGACGAATATATGCAATTTTAGAACAAAGGCTGCAAATTTAAGAACAAAAAACCGAAAAATAAACTTGAAAAAAGCACACCTACGTCTGTTTGGAGTAAGAGGAAGAAGAAGGGACGCGCTTGTTACGGAGCATCATGTAACCGACGGGTAAGACCACTCCGATGATCATGATCGCCGCTCCGATGATGTACCTGACTGGGTTCGGTGGTTCCACCTCTATCACCCCCATGATCTGCAACCACAGGCGATCATAGCCCATTGTGTTAGATCTAAATCAATAGCTTAATAATATATAAGAAGAAGAAAGAAGAGAGAGAGAGAGAGAGAGAGAGAGAGAGCGTATATCGGCGAAGGAAAATCTGAGCGTCTTCGGAGTTCAGAAGACGATCCCTTTCGGAGGAGTTTGCTGAGACGGGTCTCTCTAATGGCGAGTCCTCTTCGCTATTCTGCAGTTTTGGTTCTGTGAGATCCGTACCAGGAGTTGGGTGCTCCTCTTGTACACGTGGCAAAATCAGGATGTACTTGGTTTGTTTTCGGCTTGATGGGTGGGCTATCAGTCAACGACCCAATAAAGAAAGGACGTCGTTAAGTAATCTAATTTTTTGTTTTTTAAAAGGGAAATTTACACGATTAGCAAAATCTTGGATTTTAATTTGCCAAGAAAAGAAATTGATTAAGAAAAGAAAACAATATATGTTTATCATGATGGACAATTATCTATGTTAAATTGTAATTTACCATACAATGAATATGTAATTTAAACTATTTTTGTATATCACGCATGAATTTAGAATGTAATCTGTCTATTTCCCTTTTTTTATTGCTTTTGTTATAGTAAAATAATAGAGGCATGATCCCTATCGCATTAGTATTTTGTAATTTATGCGAGTTTTAATACGTATGATGTAAGAATATAAGTGGTCTCCCCATTTTTTAATTATTTGTATATGTAAAATCAGTGAAAATTACTTTTTTACGGTGTTGTTTGTGACCTCTGTCTTGCTAGTCTCTTGATCTCGACCATTGAAGATTTTCATTAATTGTTGAGTTGATATTAAAAGAGCCGGTTGAAATTTCAGTGCGTTTTATGCGGACGTTTTTTTTTTTTATCCATTTGTGCTTTATTATATTGTACTAGTAAAATTTATTTAGAATTTGTTTTAAAATAATTTTATTTTTTTATGAAAATAAAAATGAAAATATTTTCAATATCAGACAGAAATTATTTTTAAAAATACGTTTAATAATTTTATCAAAAGATTATTTTCAGTGTAAAAAACTCATTAATGTCTTTTTTATCTCTTTGCTTGAGAGAGGAGAAAATAAAAACAAAAAATAAAAAATAATTAAAAATTATTTTTTATTTATCTCTTATTTTACACTAAATTAAAAAATTATTTTTATTTTTATTTTTTATTTTTATTACGTTAAACGTCATTTTAAAAATATTTTTATTTTTTTCTCAAAAAATATGAAAAATAAAAACAAATCAATTCTAAATACGAACAACGGTCTACATAAGAATACAATTAATTTGTTTTTTCAAAAAAAAAAAAAATTAACAACGTGGTATAAATTAAATCCTTCCTCTTTTTTTTTTACACTAAAGAAAAGTTAATTTAGAAAATAAAAATTGTGTGGATACCACGTCGGCTTCAACATCGGGAGAAAAGAACAGAAAAGAGAAGAAAGCATCTGGAGGTAAAGGCCACCGAGTTTGTTGGGTGGTGCAAACAGACAGGAAGAGAGAGGGAGAGAAGATGACTGTTGTCCGAAGAGCATCCGCAGAGCTCCCCAAACTTCTTGGCCTTGCAAACAGGTCCCTAAAATCCTTTGCATTCCCAGGCAAGTCCCTGCTCGATTCTTCCACATCTCCACCTTCCTCTCTCTCCCATGGGATCCACGTCTTCCATTGCCCCGTAAATCTCTCTCTCTCTCTCTCGTATTTTCTTCTTCATTTTCGCTGTAACCAAACAGGAAATTTTCATTTATATTTATTTACTCGTTTGTTTGTTTTTGTAATAGGATGCGGTTGGGATTGTGGCGAAGCTCTCAGATTGCATCGCTTCCAGAGGAGGAAACATTCTTGGCGCCGATGTGTTTGTCCCCGAGAAAAAGCGTGTCTTTTATTCTAGAAGGTTCGTCTCTTTCTTCCCCTTGCCAAATTATTCACATTTTCATGCAATATTTTGGTTGTTTCATATATATAATTTCTTCTATATCCAATCCGTTTAAGGAAAAAAGAAAAGAAAAAGAAATTGGATTGGTTTGGTTGACTTGGGATTTGTCATTGAATCTATTCCAAAGAGCTTATTTTGGTTGAAGCAAATAAATTGTTCTCTTCTCTAGCTATAAGCTATAGTCTGCTGTTGGATTTTGTTTTTGTTTTCTTGTTGCAAAATTTCAGGAATTTGCTATGTGCTTGAATATTGTCGGTTCTTTATTTTGTGAAACCATGCCATAGTTAAAAGAGATTTCTAGTGTAGGACCAGACAAAATATACTACCGGTAGGACTCTATTTTCTAAGCATCAAATTTTTGCTGTCTGTTATACATATTTTTATTATTTTGATGTGATTTTACTAGATCTAGAAGGTTAGAAACGTCCATCACCGGTATAAGGCCCTACAGTAGGAATACCAAAAAAAAGGAAGGACCCTTTTGTTCTTTTCTCTATTTTGAATGTGGAAACAAATTAATAGAAACCTATGACTCATTCAAGAGCAAAATATTTGGAGAGTACATCCTAGGCAAACTGATCAGATTGTGTAAACCTGGCAGTGAATTTATTTTTGACCCTGCCAAATGGCCAAGACCGCAGATGGATGAAGACTTTCTTAAAATTTCAAAAACATTCAATGCTATGAAATCCGTTGTTCGTGTGCCGGAACACGACCCTAAATATAAGATTGCCGTTCTTGTTTCGAAGCAGGTACGAGATGTCGTCTCTCTTGCCCAAACTTGCGAACACACGGAGACTTATATGTGTTTATGCATTCTGCATCATGCTGAAGTGTTCTTGTCTTTACATTTTCTGCAGGAACATTGCCTGATCGATTCGTTACATCAGTGGCAGGATGGAAGACTTCCGGTAGATATAACTTGTGTAATAAGGTTAGGTTTCGGAAACCTTGAACTTATCTTTTCCTTTTCTTGAGAATGCTGCCTGACCGTCGCCATTAATGTTTTTTTATATTTTCCTTTTCTTTTCAATCAGTAACCACGATAGAGGTCCAAACACCCATGTTTTTCGCTTTCTTGAAAGGCATGGCATTCCTTATCACTATCTTCGAACAGCCAACAATAATAAAAGAGAAGGAGAGATATTGGAGTTGGTTCAGAATACTGATTTTTTAGTGCTTGCGAGGTACATGCAGGTAATCATGTTATACGAACGCTCTTGCAATATCAATTTTTTCTTTAGTGTTACTATTGGCATTGAAGTTTATTTTATTGAGTGGAGAGAACAGGCTTCTTTTTGTTGAATTGTTCTTTTCTCTCTAGATTTTGAAATATGAAAAGAATTTTATTCATTAACATTCGTTTAGGTAATCGAATTACAGCAATGTGTTTGAAAACTACGAGTATGTTCATTTGCACAACTCAAGTCATGACTTGAGTTATGTATGTGAGAGAAAAACACTGTAGCAAAAAGGTTGAATTTGAATTTTTGTGAGAAAACACTGTAACAATATGATTTGAGTCATGAAAATGAACAAGGCCTACATTGTCAATTTACTTCTGCAGATACTATCTGGTAATTTTTTGAAGAACTATGGAAAGGATATAATCAACATACATCATGGCCTTTTGCCGTCATTCAAGGGTGGAAATCCATCAAAACAGGTTCGATCCTTTTGTGTAATCTACAAATTATGGATACATCCTCGCTTGTTGAACAATGTCCCTGTTTCCATCCTAACTTTCTATGCATGTATAATTTGCTAGATTATGTTGGCAGGCTTTTGATACTGGTGTGAAACTAATTGGCGCAACGAGTCATTTTGTGACTGAAGAACTTGACTGTGGGCCTATAATAGAACAGATGGTGAGCTGGAAATTGATTGCTGCCGCTATTTACTTTATGCTTGTTTATGATGCTTTTTGCACCAAATCTGACAAAATAGAGGGTGCTTATTGTTTGTTGTGTTTTCTGTTAAGTCCATATTTATTTTTTAATTCTCATGTCTACTAGAACATGGCTCATTTTGATAGATAACAGGAACAAAACCAACTTAAGGAACATGGTTGGTTTCTATATAATAGTTATATAGTTTGAATCATCCACTCTGTGGCATTTCTTTTACTGAAATGGTTCAAACATATTGTTGTCTTGAAAAGTACAAAGCCCATTTTGGATTGGCAATCCCAAACTAAAATTTGTTGCAGATCTGAGTTATGGTCCATAACTATGGTAGGAATAAGATTGCACTAAATTGCTGCTGATGTTGAGAAGAACTCGAGCCATACCGGCTCTTTGTTTTTTTTATTTTTGAGGTCAAAGTATTGTGAGATGTGTGGGATTTTAGATAAATGAAAGTTGGAAAATGCTCCATGTGTTCGGTTTAAATTTAACTCAGCCTTTGTTTTTCCTTGTACCCAATTTGTTTAGATGATCATTTTGTTTTGTTCAAATGAGACATAATTGCACGTCTAATTACTTGTAAGTTTTCTCTTTTTGCAATGCAGGGCACATAATAGTCCTGGGCTAGTTATTTTCAAACTTTACCTTCATGGGCAGTATATACTTTCAAATTTATGCAGGTTGAGAGAGTTTCACACAGAGATAACTTGCAGAGTTTTGTGCTGAAATCAGAGAACCTCGAGAAACAATGCCTTTCAAAGGCCATAAAATCATACTGCGAGTTGCGGGTGTTACCATACCAGGAAAACAAGACTGTTGTATTTTGAGGGGACAAAGGGCATAAATCAGTTGATAGGTGGATAATTTCCATACTCTTATTCTTGCTAATAAGTCTAAAACTTGTCATTTCCAATGCTCTTTATCCTCCCTTGTTCTTGCTAATAATTTTAACTTCCTGTCTCCAATAATTAATGTAACTTTTTATTTGGTGATAGAATTCTAATTTGTATAACCTGCAGTCAAACCTTGAGTGTACCTTGAAATCAAGAAATTATTGGTTTAACAATTCTGGAATCTGGATCCAGAGTATTGCAGACTGATGGCAATTTTTATTTTTTTATTTTTTTTATTTTTTATCCAGAGTATTTTGACTTCTAAACTAGAATTATTTTCACCAACCATTTTTTTTCACAAATGGGCAGGCAACAATGGCCACCATGATTCGTCTCTATCCTTTGTCTTAATAAATGAACTATTACAACGTCCTGGAGCTCAAAAATAGTACGAGTTGAATTTTTTAGGCCAAATTAACGATTTAAAGCCTTGTGCCTAGTCAACCAACAATCTTGTTACAAGTACATTGCAGAACACCAATGACCAATTAATTGCAAAATAGTTTATCACATATGCCAACATTGAAGTTTATCTATGGTACGACCAAGGAAATAAATCAATACATGAGCAAACTGTACAGAGCAACTGTTGACCGTCGTCAACAGAAATACACCTAGTTACCGTTTAGTAATAAGTTGGATTACCGGTTGGATCACATAAGAATGACAGCGCTGTATTCGATTAAAACCGAATAATAGAGTGGAACGGTTTATGTGCGTGCCTTGTGGGCTTGGTGTTAGAGTTTTTCAAAAGAAAAAAGAAATCTAAAACGATAAGTAGACCAAGATTTATAGTGGTTTACTCTCAATACAAGAGTTACGTTTACTTTAAGAAATCTTCCTCTCTTTTTCCTTTTTTTTTTCCCCCTTTTTCTCCTTTTTGATTACAAGAAGCTCTATTCTTTTTTGTGTGTACAAGTATTTTTCCTGTGGTCCCCCTCTCTTGTGCCATGCCCCTTTTATATCACATAGATTACATATTGGAGAAAACTGAGGTAAGTGGTTATTCTGTGGTTGCTCTCGAGTAGCCTACTGTCCTATTCATCTAGACTACAATGCTTTTTTGACTGTTCATCTACCTACTCTGCCCAAAACCGCGGCTCTGTAGCTTCTCCTTGATTTCCTATTGGTCTATTTTGGCGGCCAACAGGTTGGTAATCATTTCTCTAGCCAATAGCTTTGTTTACACATGCACGTAACCTAGGGATTTCTCTCTTGTCGCTTTAGGAGATCTTCTCGGAATCTGGGTCAAATAACCGATCACGTTGCCCTCTCCGCTTTCAGTTTGCCTGGATAGCAAGTCCAGACAGAACCTTCGTCCCCATCAATCCTCACATAGGATCGACGGCCTACAGGGTTTAGGAGCTGTCTCCGTCTTTGCCATTTGAACGGTCGACTGCCATCATGGACGCTTTGAAATAGCTGAACTTCAATGTCTGAAAAGTTGATGCTTCGACCGTCATCGCCTCTAAGAATAGGGTCACTATTGACCTTTAAATGCTTTTACGTAATTGCCACGTGAAGCTTATCTGTCGTCTGACATGACAATGTAGATTTTCCCTTACGACAGAAACAACAAAAAATCTCTCTCTCTCTCTCATTGACATTTAGTTTTTATTTTCTTTTCCAATATTTTAACTAGCGGGAAAGAAAACTATGGACAATATTTGTGCGAAAAGTATAAAGCTTGGGACAACATTTATGTGTCATCACTAGAGAAGATAGGCCTTCATAATTTGCCTTGGAGATTACAATAAAAGGGAGTTATTCCATCATTCTATAAGCTCCAAGTGTAGTCCTCTCTCTCTCTCTCTCTCATTAACATTTAGTTTTTCTTTTCTTTTCCAATATTTTAACTAGCGGGAAAGAAAACTATGGACAACATTTGTGCGAAAAGTATAAAGCTTGGGACAACATTTATGTGTCATCACTAGAGAAGATAGGCCTTCATAATTTGCCTTGGAGATTACAATAAAAGGGAGTTATTCAATCATTCTATCAGCTCCAAGTGTAGTCCTCAAAAAAAAAAAAGAAAAAAAAGAGAAAAAAAAAAGAGAGAGAAAGAAAGGACTCAAAAGGAGGTCTAACATACCTCAATGAATGTGTTTCATACATTCAAAATGTTCTTATCAGATTATTCACACCTCAAACTGTAATGTAGTATACATAAACTTATTGACCACTTTCCTCTTCTTCTTCTTCTTCTGATGTTGGCCTTGTTCATTGATTCCCACAAGCTGATTATCAAGGGTCAAACATTGGCGACAGAATGTATTTTCAAGCAAAAAAAAAAAAAATGATCATACTCTTTTACTGAACATAAGAAGCCAGAAAAATTGTGTGGTTCCTAATCTATTCCTTGGTACAAATCTTCTCTTCTCTTGTAATAGAAGTATCGTCTGCATAGAGGTTTATTTTCTGTCCTACTTTTTCGTGCTACACATGTACACAAGGGAATCATATACTAGAGCTGATGGATAAAAATCCCAGAGAGCCCTCAGTCTCGTCGACGTTGCTTACTCGGCGAAGGAGACTTTGTATCCCCTCAACCCATCTCTGCTTATGGATCCTGCTTTTGCATTTGAACTCTAGAAGACCTTGTGCGGTTTTCAGACCAAAGATGAGTTCTTCTGAAATTTCCCATTCTCTTTTATAGGGCCACGCAGCAATGTCGTCACAGACTCCATAGACAATGCCTAAATCCATAGTAAATCCAGACATTATAACGGAATGCCATTTTATTTTTCAATAAAAAGCTCAGCTTAGTTGTAAATGGTGGCATAGAGACCAGAAACAGATTGGTATTCAAGTCAAAGAACTATAAATACTTACATTTGTTATTTTTTGAGAAGGCTCCAACAACATGTTTATTCTTGAGTTTGATTATGACCTCAAAATCCTCGTTGATGTAGACAGACACACGCTTCGGTTGCAAAACTCCTGTGAATTCAAAAGAGTGATCCGGTTTAGCTACCAAACTATACACCAAAAGGGCCAAGTTCCCATACATCTAATCGGCACGCACTTGTCATGGTGAGTATACTATTTTGGTTAGTACCCATGAATATGATCCTGAACTTCATATGGTAAATTACCTTTTCGTGTAAGTTGCAATAAGTCGCCCGCCAACTGAGAACCTGGATCCTCCTTTTGACCACCAAATGAAGCTGCAGGCTTAGTTTCAGCCATTCCCTTTCCAAAGGGACTTATAGAAGCATTCTTTCTAGTTTCCTTTGGCAGCCTTGCTTTCAAAGCACCTTCCCCTCGCAAAGCTGGAAAGAAAGATTTCATAATGATGAATAAGTCAAGAGTAAGCATGAAAGGAAACTTCAGAAACTCGAGAGTGCCGTGATTGTTAGATTGAAAATATCCCAAGAATGCTAATTGGAGGCGAGCGAACATTGGTTTTCATTTTCCAATACTTCCCTGGAGTGAATGAAAATGTGGGTCCAGATTCAAACCATGGCCCAATATGTAACAAAGTAGAATTCACCATCGCAGGGTTTGAAATTCGGGTTCGATTGCTTTGATACCATGTTAGGTTATCAATTCATCCAAAAGCTTAAGTTAATTGGGAGTAGGCAAACATTGGTTTTCATTTCCTAATAGTTATAATGGAAATTTCATTTCTTTATAACTTCAGCCAAATAGGAATATACCAGTTGCGGCTGCAGCAGTAAAAGTCGTAAGATCCCCGGGACTGCGGATGTCCACAGCTGATCTGACAATGGCAGCAACACGGTCATGATCAGCTCCAGCAGTCTCGGCCATTTCAATGCAATGTGATGCCAAAAGTTCTGTGGCTGACGCCAAAGCCATGCTCATCTTCGAACGCGATCTACCAGAGTTTTCTTCCGCGACTACGGCAGCCAAGGCCGTGGCAAGTCCCGCTATGGAGAGAGCAGAATGCAATCTTGCATTCTCCAATCGTGCCTTGTCTTTCTTGTTCAATGTGTCGCTGCTAGTCTCCTTTTGTCGGAACCACTTTCCAATTGACACTGTCCTCCTAGCGTTAGAAGACTTTGTACCCTTAGGTGGCTGTCAAAAAGAATACAACAAAAAATAAACAAATAAATAAGAATTGAATGGCTTGCAATTCAGATATAGGTTTCAGAATTTTTGTACAAAAAAAAAAAAAAAAAAAAAAAAAAAAAAAAAAAAAAAATTTTGATGCAGAACCTGTTGGGTTCTTTTAGCAAAAAGAAAAAAGATTTTAAAAATTTTTCCAACAATAAAATACTCGATCTATAAACATATATTTGTACTTATTTGGTAATGACAAACCTACGGATTGTCAAATAGGAGAAGAGAAGAATAATTAGAGAGAGACATATGTGATTATAAGACTGAAATTGATAAATCAATTGCTTCTAAGGTTTAACATAATCAAGCCTATTTACCAATAGAAGGTCAATCCTAATTTTACTAGGAAACTAGGCAATTAAGCTAAAACTAAACCAAAAGATTACAAAAGACAAATGATGATAATAACAAAGATGAACAATCCCTATTGATGAAATGAAGAAATCTTACTAATGGTGGCAAAGCAACTGCTTCCGGGACTATCATATCAAGATTCTTGTCAAGTGAAAATTGCTTCTGTTTTTGAGCCAGAGCCTTCGAAATTTCGGTAGCCGAAATACTCCATGACCTTGACAAGAATTCCATGGGCTCATGTGGTGTCTTTGGTTGAGGTATAGCAGGCAAGGATGTAACTTTCTGTAGCTCATCTTCCTCATCATCCATAAGACTCTGCAATGAAGTAGTCCTCCAAGCTGAAAAATATTCACTTTCCATTTTTCCTTTTTTTTTTCCCTTGCTCATTACTAATGTGTCTTCTTCACACAAACAGATTTATTGTGAAATCTTCTTCTTCTTCTATTTAACCAAAATGCTTATCTCATTTGTTGGGCGGCTAAAGTATGCTTTTTTAGAAAATATCAAGTACTTGTAAGCTTTGACTTTTCCTGTCACATCAATTGACGGCAAAAGGAATTAGAGATACTTCAAATAGACGACTCAAAGGAGATCAAAAGAAACTTTGAATTAAACCAAACAATAAACAATAGTAATTAACTGACTGGATTAGAAAAAGCACCTCCAAAATATTCTTCAGAGACCCCAAAAGCTAGACATGAATATGGGCTTATGAGTTTATTTCTTCTTGAAGCAAAAGCTGCTTTAAAATTTCATTAAATTATGATTCCCAAAACCAATTCAAACTACTTTCAAACTGGCAAAAAAGAAGACTACCCTTCACTCATAATTGAAAACGCCGACTAACCCAGCAGAGAAAAAGTGTATCTACACATATATATAAAACTGAGATTTGGTTTTCATCCACAGCAAAATATTGAAATAAAAAAAGACAAGATTTTATGTTATATACAAAGAAAGGCCCAGAAACAAGGAGACAAGAATGAATCAGAGAAACGAAAAACGAAATCTTGTGCTTGGGAAAACACCCCACGAATTCAGGCCGGTTCATCAAAAGGAACAGAAGAAAAACCAAATGAAACAAACGCACAAGTATATAACTAGTTCACGCGAAACCTAGTACGAGTCTAAAAAAAGGAAGAAAGTTAAGAAGTGACAACGAGAAACCACACGCCCGGATAAACGGGGAATGGGTTTCTTGGCAGCCATGCAATGCAAGAAGACGAGAGTGCTAGTTTCTATGATGGGGGAAAAAAAATGCATTTGTATATATGAATTGTATCATACTCGTGTGTATGTTTGTGATAATCACAAAGGAAAATGAATGAAATGTTATGAAGGGGGGAAAAAAAAACAAAATCAAACTTTCTGTGGTTGGGCAGTTTTCGAATTAAAAAGTGGTGTGCAAGAGCAAGACACCAGCCAATCAATGGCTCGGTTCTTGACTGAACGGTGGGGACGGTTTTGGGCTCGGCATATATTCTCCTCCCCTTCTTCTGACAAAATTATTGAGGCCTCGTTATTTTCGTTGATTCGAGTTTAAAATTCGAGTTTTACTATGGTAAAAAATTCTCAGAAACAATCATATCTAACTTTTTTATTACAATAAAAAGTTCTCACACAACATCACATCCTAACTCGAATTAGTGAACCGAACGGGCAACTTATTCTTGTAATATGGATCTAAATTTTTATCTTTTGTTATTAATTAATATAATATTTGATAAAAAAATATTAATAAAAAATAATGGGTAAAAATCAAGAGCCATGCAACTTAAAAGAGTATTTGTCTCTTTTTTCTTGTTCTTTTTCTTTCCCATGCAGTCATCTTTGAATGAGCTTTTTTTAACTTTAAGATATAAAACTTGCGGGGGTCTCTCCGTTAGACTAAAAAGAGTAAATTATCAGTAGTTCTATATTTTCAATTGTCAAATTTGCATTACAATTTATCTTTTTTTTACATACTTTTTAAACTGATATAATTTTTAACAGATGATCTAACGGTTAATAATTAACCTCACTGATAGAGAAATCATAATGAAGAAACTCCCAAAACTTTAATTTTTAAGGTTCCAACAACAATTCCTATCAATAGCAAAAATGATAGTTTGGGTTTTTAACACAATTGCATAGTTTGGGTTTTTAACATAATTGTCCCCTAAACTTATCGTTGTTTAGTAAATTACCCCGTAAAGTTTTAATTTTGGCAAGTTGCCCCCTGAATTTGTAAATTTATTGCAATTTGTCTCATTTAATTAAATTTGCTCAAATTTTTATTAGGTTTAAGGGATTAAAAGTTGAGATATTGAAATATTTATGTTACATTTGAATTGAAATGTTGAAATTTTTAGTTAAAGGTGTTTTTTTGACACTAATTTAACGCAATCGTCGTTAAAATTGGACACATTACAACAACTTTATAAGTTGAGGGAGCAACTTGTTAAAATTAAAAATTTGAAAGATAATTTGCTAAATCACGACAAATTTAAGGGACAAATGTGATAAAGACCTGATAGTTTTAATGCACAATAAAAAATATATACACAATTGATTAAATCTGACAAAAATGCATCACATTAATCCACACATAGTAGACTTGTACTTCTGTTTTTAGCAAGCCAAAAAGACATTTGATAGAGAATAAGAAAATACTTGTGTAATTTATAGTCGTCAAATTACATCTGAATTATATCAAATAAGATTAAAAAACTAGGACAGTTTATTAAACTTAATGAAAAACCACAATGTTGAAAATTATATTCTATCGATCAAGCATTATTTTATACCCTACAATTCTCCTTTAGAGAGAAAAGAAAAAAAAAAAAAAACTCACTTTTTTTTAAGCCCTTTTAGAAGTGCTCAGATCGAATCCTTCGCCTCATTATTTAAAAAAATAAATAAATAAAATGCTTCCAATAATCTAGAAGGTTGTACGTACTTGTGTGAACATTCAATTATGCATCAAATTCTGTAAACCTGTAACCTAATATTGTACGTGTTACTTTGCGTAAATATCATTGATGTATATATATTACGCAACACCTATTTATGACAGAAATTTTGAATTGATTGTTTTGCATATTGCTTGGTTCATATATATGAAAGTTCAAACTTGCACGATACACATGACATGATATTGAAAGAGATTTTAGCAAACATCAAATAATGTTTGGACGTGTGTGATAAAATGGTTGGTATATGCTACCATCACACTTTTTTAAAAAATAAAATAAAATAGGCTGCCCTATATAAGTGTCATGGAATGTTTTTGATAGAAAGTCTTGATCATGGAACTTAAAAGAATTTCTTTCATTAGTATTGGTTGCAGAGATTTTGTATAATGGGACGTAGTAACTTTTTTTTTTTCTTTTTTTATGAGAGAGAGTGGTATTATGTTATTGAGATTTGCGGTTCACATCCTCCACCTTTATCATGTACAATGAATAAATAAATAATATATCCCTATTCGTCTATATTATGTGGATATTAAAGTAGGGATATTGCATGGCAGGATACGAGTTTTAAATTTTTATTTTTTTAAAAGAAACATTTTATCACTAGTGTACATATTAAATCATAATTGTGACGCGAATTACAATATGATTCGATATATATTTAAAAACAAATACCAATAAGTAGGTGTGATTTACGCCCCATGACAGTCTTATATTGTGCGGCATTTGGAATTATGTACAACTTTTACTTATTTCTTACTATTCACATAAATTTATTACTTGTGGCAAATAAAAAATGGGAAACATATCATCATCGTTCTGATGTGGCTGCCATCATGTTTCCTTATGGATCAGATTATTAATTCATTGATAAAATAAAATAAAATAAAATAAAAGGCAACAAAGATCTGTTGCGCTGGTAAAAGAAAAGAAATGCCCTTGGAACCAGTATAGACAGGGTGAAGAATTTCAGCATAAGATAATTTTTTTTTTTTTCATTATAATGTATTATCTTTTTTATTTTTCTTATATATATTTTTACATGATTAAAACGCATCTTTTTTTTTTCCCCCCGTTTTTGAGGGAACAGTCAAAGACCATTAATTGATGTAGGTCAAGGATATCAAAATTATATGTCCTTCCTTTTATGGAGAGTACTGAATCAATAATGAACAAGAACAATGATATATTATGTACACATCATACACAGACATACATAATCTGTATGTGTAAATATGGGGTGGGAGTTTGTCAGCAAAATATATAGATATATATACACATATGAATATTAATATATACGATCTACACCCAACCTCTGAGATTTTCCTGCCTGTTTCTGAATGACTCACCGACACGAGCATGGTGTTCTGCATGGCTTTTCGTCTTTCTCATACTTCAAAACTATAAAAAAGTGATGGTGAACGAATCTTCCCTCTAATTAAGAGGAAGGTTCCTTAATTAATATATATGTATATATGCGCACATGCATTTCCAATGTCTGAAATACGAAGTTAGTGCTGAACTCTCTAAATTTTAATTAAATTTTAACTAAAATAATTAAAAAAACTATTTTAATTAATAATTTTTAGATGATTCACTTCAATCACGTATAGATTATTTTAATATTTATTGATTTTAAATATAAACAATTTTATTGAATTTAAAAAGGAACTGTTGCATTTATTACGGTTAAAAGAATAAAATAATACAAAAAATGGCTAGTCTCTCCATGCTAGCTTATTTAGTTAGTGTGGAAGACATTTTCTAAAATAACTAATTATTTAACTAATGGTTGAAGCGGAAAAAAATTAAAAAAAATTAAATCATTAATTATTTTAATTAAAAACATAAAATAACTAACATGATTAGAGTTGTTCTTCGTACTTAAAAAATAACTATTTCATAGGCCTTTCATGGTGTCACGCGCCAAGTCTTTGCGCCACTGCAAGTGTCCCCTTGGTCTTTGATACATGTCACACAACTACTTGCCTTGATGCCTCTTCTCCTTGGTACCTAGCATATGTGACATTATGTAGATCTAGAATCCGTTTAGTTTGCTGATTCGAGTTGAGATGTGACTTTATGTGAGAGTTTTTTACTGTAGTAAAAAAGTTAGATGTGATCATTTCTGAGAGCTTTTTACTGTGGCAAAACTCGAATCGATAAAATGAACGAGCCTCTAGTATGCCTACCCAACGTGTCCTCTAATCCATTAGTACTCTATCGTTAGCACATCTATGGTGTGCCAATAAATAAGAAATAAGACAATGGTTAAAAACCATCGTCAAAAGATACGACGGTTTAAAAATTATCGTCGTATTTAGAGTCGTTAAATGTTTAAAAAATATGATGATGGTTATTAATTGTCGTCTAATACGCACGTAAGACACTACAAGAGTTTAAAAAGGTCATTTAGACAGCAGTTTTTTTATAAAAAAAATCGTCGTCTAACATCAACTTTTAACGACGATTTTTACAAAAACCATCGTTAAAAGTATTAAAAATT